TGGATTCTTCAACAAAATATTTCTCCAAATAAATCCAAAGAAGAGAGAAAACAATTACAGTACTCAGAGATACAGGGCAAGAAAGAGAAACACTGGAGCAGCTGTTCCTTGCACTTAAACATTGATTTATTGTATTTTTTTAATGCTGGGATTCACCCAAGAAAGGTTTCTTTGGCAGCTCACAAACATCAAGTGAAGCAAGAAGGCTACAGTGCAGGGACAATTTCAAACCCTACTCTTGTTGCTGCTCCCTCTTCCTTTGCTACAGCAGGTAGTAAGAGGCATGAATTCAGATGCAAAAATAGAGACAGTTTGATCTTTCAGCACCTGGTTGAGCAACTGATGGAAGATGAAGTTATTTACTGGCACTACCTGTAGCAATAGCCCTGCATGTTGCAATGCTGACACACCTTGCAGGATTTGGCCCATAACCCTTCTGGAAGTTAAAAGTCCTCTGTGTTGAGAACTAGTGACAGAGGTCATTACACTACAGCATAAATATTTACTAATAGTCCTTCCTACAGCTGTTCACCAAAGATTTTCCCTTTAGAGAAGGACCAGACTTCTGGAACAAGTGTTACTGTTTGCTATTGCAGAAAGAGACGTTCTCCAACACCTCCTTGCTAGAAGACTTTGTTTTCAGTTATTTGTAAGTCAGACAAATCTCATCCATTTGGGCAAAGATTTCTCAGGGAGGGCCTGATGGCTGAAGCATGTGATGGCTCCCTATGTGCAACCTCACAGTTTCTCCAAGCCGGCCACAACTTGATACAGGCTTCAGTTACACCATCACATGCTATGTTTTTTTCTGCAGAACATACCTCTATTCAGCACACAAAGCAGACAGTTACCAGAAAACAAACAGCTATTCTACATTTTGTTTCTTCCTCTTTGGCCTTAGGCTTTCTTTTGGAGCACACAGGCAAGAAAGTTTTATTTTGCAGTAAAGAAACCACAGGTTATAAATCTGAAATTATAAATCTGAATTGATTCAGCTGGTAAAAATACCTTAAAGACAAGATTTTCATGGCATCAATGTACAAATAACTTTTTGGGAAGGTACAGCACATTTGTTCTGATGAGCTACAGAAAACTCTCCACAATAAGGAAGCACTGTACTTAATAACTGCAATGCTGATTTAAGACTGATTAAAGAGAAGTTCTTCTTCCAGCATTTGTATAGCTGTCTGCAGTATAATTGGCATCCCAAATCTTGTGGTAAGCCACAAAAACTATTAAGGCTGGCTAGGAAAGGAAACTGTAGTTTTGACTTCTATTGGTTACCTGCTTTTACTGGCTTATATTTCATGCAGGGGTGTATTAGAGCAGGATTCCTTGGATCTTTGGGACCTGGTCCCTGCATTTGGAGAAGATGGGGAAATAGGCAGGGCAGAAACCAATTGCTACCATCTGGGTTGGCAAAACCTTTGTCTGAGAAGGAAGATCAAAAACCTAGAATGAGTGAACACTCTCTTTCAACACAGCAGCAGGAAGATGCTAAGTCAGGAAAAGAAGATGTTAGCAAGTGTTAAGAAGACTTTAGAAAGAGTTTTAGGGTGAGATTTAGGAGGTTTAGAGCCAAATTGAAGCCACAGCTCATATTTTATGTGGTCTTGGACCAATCGCCAGGTCTCTCTTTGCCTTAGTTACCATCTGCAAAATCACAGTAATTTGACTCATCCACACTTGCAGACTGAGGGTTCTCCAGCCAGGCAACATGTAGTATGTCTACCAGACATGTAGAGGCTGACCCAATTTTGGTCTGCTCGTGCTCTTAGCAGGCTGATTGCAAGCAAGATGTGTCATGAAAGCTGCAAAGTGACATTCAAACAGGCTTGTGTCAAAATTATTACACCTCCAGAGATGAACCTGGAACACAGACAAGGGAGGTCACCTCCGCTGTGTCTGCCAGCACCTATTGATGCTGGTGGATCCACTGTCTTTTTTTATTCCTTTGTACAATGTCACAGATTTTGATTGGTTCTTTATACTCTAATGGCTTATAAAGACTACTAAGAGTTAAGAATAATGAGAGTTTTAAAGCATAGAATGCATGCAGAAATGTTCAGTGCAGCTGAATTTTAGTCTCAACTCTCTGCTGGACCTTGGGTAAACCTTTACCTTATCCTGCTGCACTGTACACATATATAACACAGGGGTGACAGTTCTTCACTTTCCAGCAGTATGATAGAGCTCAGTTAAAAGCACATACCATAAAACCAAAATCTTTCAATATGCTACCGTATTGATTCTAGATGTTACTTCTTGAATTCCCACAAGGTTTTTATGCCAAAATGGATTTTATTTTTTCATGTCCTGTTGCTTGATGAATCATTTGATGCTATTCTAGATTTAATATCTTAACCACCTTGCCTGCATCTGACACCTGCATGGTTTTACATGTTTGGTGTCAGCAGTAAAGCTGGAATGAGAGAGCTTTTTCTCCTTTGAAGGAGTGGGAGAACAGAGAGGCCATATGGTTCAAAAGGCCACTCTGACTAATGAAGTTTGTGTTTTCCGGAGCACAAACAAAACAGCTCCATCAATTTGACCTTCATCCTCAAAACTGACATGCAATTGCTTTTAAAACACTGCCTCCTTCTCAGAAATCAACAAAGGATTGATTTGCTCTCAACGAGAAGTATTTTCACCAAGATGAACACAAGCATCTGTCCAATGCATTAGATGTTTGGGTCCTTTGAAAGAATAAGTCAAAGATACCTTGTGTTTACTTGCAGACCTTGGCAAGAAAAACACTAGGGGAACATTTGTTTTCAAGGGAAATTGTTTAGTGAAAAGCATTTGGTTTGAAACATCATTGTACCACTGGAGTCGAGGGACTTAAGTAATCCATCAAAAATGGTCTGAGCAACAACAATGCACAAGGGTACACTGTGAGACAAGGAAGGAAGGTGCAAAGATTCTAAGAAACACTGGGTTTAGCCAGCAGTAGAATGAGTGCAGATGAGTAACTCAGCCCTTATGCCTGCCACAGATTTAGTTTAAAGTTGCCCTTTTCTTGGTGCTTTGTGATCAATATTTGTTTGCATAGAGCTCAATCTCCCACCCACAGAGGCCAGCAGGAGCTTGCCATTTCCTTCCATTCCTGCCTGATGAGGCTCCAAATAACTAGTGTTTGTGCTCAGGGCTTTTCAGTGCCAAATATAATGAACACTATTGTTCTTGACACAATTAAATTTGATAATCCAATTTCCTTGAGCAACTGAATTGGAGTTTCTGCCTCAATCTTTCCTGAATTCTAGTCCAACTTTTACCCTGTGCCTCCTGGCTTTACCCCTACATTTGTTTCTCTTGTGCTACCAAGAATAGTCAGTTTTCTTGGACTCCAGGATGCCTCTCTGCCTTGGAATAATGGGAGCTAGCTTGGGACTTGAGTTTTATAGAAGATATTGGATGACACAGAAGATCAAAGACTTTGGCAACCTCCATGTACTACAAAAGCACAAGGAGGACTGAAACAGGCTCCTATAGCATTCCTTTCTCCACATGAAACAGTCTGGAAAGCACATCCAAGAGAAGTCTGTATAGACATGACTCTTTATAGACTATTTCCACTTCACCATTTTTGTTCAGTGTAGGAAAGAAAGATGGATGAACGTGGAGAGGAAGGATGTAAAAAAGGAAAACCAAAAGCACAAACTGTAAACTACCAGATGCCTTTTGTGACTTTATCCCACTGATGCTATATCCCACATAGCAAGAGGGTTTTCCCCACCCAAGCATCTCTTTAAGATAATAAGGCATTTACATTCTGGTCTCTCTCCTTTACTGGCTCTGCACCAAAGTGCATTCTCCAAAAATCACCCTGTTATCGGGTGATAATCCTCCATCAAGCAGCACCAAGTGTTTGCTACGTGCTTGGAGTCCACAGAGGCCCTCCTGCTGTGAAGCAGAAGAAGAAGAAATGGAACAAAAACAGGCCAAGTGCCAACCAGGAGGCAACTGGAAACTGCCGTAAACTCTGTCCTCATTTCCACTGTCTGAGAGAAACAGAACTTTGTAGACCAGCTACTCAGATGCTTGGGATGCTGATGAAGCAGTAGGGTGAGCAAGATACCTGATCTCACCCCCTGCATGAAACCCTCCCCTTTGTTCCCTCAGCATCCTCCAGCATGCCAAATTTCATCCAGCTCTTTTCCCTCCTCACAGCCAAGGACCAATGTACATCTTTCTGTGGCAGCCACAGCAGCAGATTCTCTAATTACCCCAGGAAGTGTCTTTTTGGGCCTTCAGGAATGCTCAGCCCAGCAGGCAACCCAAAAATTCTAATGCCAGGCCAAGTCCTTTGAAACTGGTCAAAAGCACAGCCAGTGAACCCATGGTCACCAAGACAGCATCTGAAGCTTTTTTAGTCCTGCCTCCATCAAGGGGATTTCTCAGGAACTGAGAACTGAGTCATAAACCAGCTCTAAGCTCTATTTCAACCTAAATAGCAACCTGGTCTAGTGGGAGGTGTTCCTGCCCATGCAGGGCGTTGGAACTAGATGATCTTTAAGGTCCCTTCCAACCCAAACCATTCTATGATCCCCAAGACTTCTTTGTGAAGACACCAAGCTTTGCAAAAGCTCAGCACCCGGATCTTCCAGCTGTGCACTTTCTGTGGGTGCCTTAACATTTGTTTTGAGAACCATCCCGTTCCAACAGCAAACAAAAAGATCAGCGTGACCTCTCTTTATCACACAGCCTTTCCTGCGTGGAATTCATTGTGATCTGGGCCCTAGTGACTATTGCATCATTTCTGTTTATTTGTAACCTTTGGCTCTGTGTAATCTTATCTGCCCGCAGCCGGCTGCAGCAGAAGATGTGCAGCAACGCAGCCAGATCTGGCAATCCTCAAACACTGGAAGGGGCCAGCTAAGAATGGAGGTCAGTAAATGATTAGCAAAGCAAACCCGCAATCACCAACAGCTACACAGAAATCAGCTCTCTCTGCCCCCCCCCGAGCAGGTGGGGCCTGGCTCTTCTCCAGCTCCACTCACCAATCACGATGAGGGTGTAGTTCACGTTGGTGCTGCCGAAGCCATTGGTGGCTTTGCAAATGTAGGTTCCCGCGTCTTCGCTTTCCACCTCCTTGATTTTCAGCCCTTGCTGAAGGATCCGGAACCTCGTCCAGCCGCTGTGGATAGTGCGTCCGTCCTTCATCCACATGGTGAGAGGTGGGGGGTCACCCTCCACCGGGCACAGGAGCTTGATGGTCCTCCCTAGCCTCACGGACTGACGGTGAATCACTTTATCAGCGATCCTTGGGGGACCTGAGGAAGAACAGAGAGGAAGAGCTGTTATGGCTTTTGCCAGTGATAAAGACTAGCCATCAACCAGCACACTTCATGGACTGCTGTAACGAGATACAGCAAGGGCATGAGGTGATCGGATGAGGGGGAACAACTTCAAACTTTAAGAGGATAGATTTGGTTAGACATTAGTGGGAAATTCTTTCCTGTGAGGGTGGTGAGACACTGGAACAGGTTGGCCAGAGCAGCTGAGAATGCCTCATGCCTGGAAGTGTTCAAGACCAGGTTAGATGGGGCTCTGAGCAACCTGGCTTAGTGGGAGATGTCCTTGCCCATGGTAAGGGAGTTGGAACTAGATGACCTTTAAGGTCCCTTCCAACCCAAACCTTTCTATAATTCTATGATATAGTGAAAGGCATTTACCCGAAATCACTTGCAACCAAGGCTAAAAATGCAGGTAATTACAGAGGGATACATCAACGGAGATACTGGTTTGTGTGAGACCTGAAGCTGTAGCCTTGTCATTGTCAACAGCTCACACTAACACACCAGGAAAGCCTCCTTCTGAGCCTCTCTTGCTTTTCCAAAACACCCCCATTTTTCTATAGGAAAGAGGAGTCCAACTGACAAACTGTTCAGTCTATGTATGTTAGTATATGGTAAAGCAACTGTAGTTGTTTTCAACATAACACCTATCCTGAAGGCAAAACTATTAACAATAGTGGTTCTAAAAGCAAAACACAGTTCCCCAACAAAAACACATTGCAATTCCTTCCTGTTGTATGTACAGTAATCCCCTTCAATAGACACCAGATAGGCTTTATCTGAGATGCACAAGCCTGCAGCTGTCAGACACAAAACGTTCACTGGGCAGCTCTTCACTAGAAGATCCAGCATGGCCTGACATGTTAATGTTGTTTATAGTCCAAAAGAGGTTATTTTTATCAATTGCCTTGGCAACCCTGCTGGTTTGACCCAACTGACAAATTCTTTGCAAAAGGTGATAATTTCAGGCAAAACAGAGTGTCCCTGGAATGCCACAGAGAGAACATGCTGTTTGTCACATGATAACAGGATGCATTTGGACAGGTCAGCACTCACAAAAAAAGGAGAGGTAAAGAATCCAGCAGTGGGAATGGCCCCATAGCTGAATTCAAATGGGTATTTCTGCCCAAGGCTCTGAAAAGTTGAAGTAGAAAATCTTTCTCCTGCATCTGCCATTTCATTAATTGCACAAGCTCCCCACACAGGCTGCAATACCAATGCTCTTCCCAGAATAGTCTATTAATGGGTGTGATAATAAGCACCCTGCTCTTGCATAAGGACAGAATGTTTTGCTAAGGATTGCTGATGCTGAGTTGCACCCAAAACCCACAAGATGTTTGTGGGATTCGGAATTGTTCCCTCATATTTTATTCCTGTTCCTAGTGTTTTGCAGGACTGGACCCACAGGGGACAATCTCCAGAGCTCTTACTTGCACTTCCTCATGACTAATCCCTACTATTCCATTGTCTGCTTGAATTCTCCCCAGTATGACTAAGGCAGTACATACAGTCCAGCTCATGAATGACTACAGAGATGCTGTTGCAGTTACTCATGTTGAATCGCACCCATCAATTACGCAGCTTTGCTGGTGAACGGAAGTGCTGCTCAAGCTGAGAAAACAGCCATTAACTAGCTTGAAACTCATTAATTAGTTTAACTAAGAGCCTGGTTAAACCAATAGGTCTAAGACACAATCAGATTTGGATTAACAGCTCAAAACCTGAAGTGGGGATCTTGAGAGGACTTAATCTGAAAAGGTCAGACTCTGGCAAAGGTAACACCCATCTCTGCACACCTTCTGCAGACCCCTGTGGGACAGCAGTTCAGAGTTGATGGTGCTCTCCCATACGTCAAGGGAATCTTACAAAACACCATGAGAAATCCTGCCTGTCCAAGTCTATCTAAGCTCTGCAACCCACACTGTTAATGTTCTTCACCTTAGGAGATCTCCAACCAGCTCTGTGGATTGGACAATCCCCAGATTGCTTGAATGCTGATCTGACTCAAGCCACATTGCTGGATCTTTTAAAGAGCTAATCCACCCATCAAGGGGGGTTGTGTGTGTTTGCTTTGATAAAGCAGAATTCATCAACACTGGGTGAGGATCCAGCCCCAACCTCTGCTACATTTTCCCATATAGTGCAGCATCTTACTCAGTGTAAAGGAGCAGAAATGTCCAGACAAGTCCACAGCTGTGTTGAATTCTTTGTTGGCCTTTGGAGAGACTCTTCTAACGTAGAGCCCTACCAAACCAAGTCAAATTTTCAGAGTAGCACCATTGCAGTCTACTTGTGAGCCAGGATACTACTCCATGCATACTCAAATGGAAAAAATATATGTATCATTAGTGCTGGGAAAAAAATGGTTGGTGCAGGGCAAGCAGGGACAGTGGGGACAGAGTGCCCTCCTCCCAGCTGGGAAACCTGTTGTAGCTTCTTCAAAATCCCTTTCCTTCCAACACTCAGGTTGACTCCTGATGAATTTTGAGACCTGGAGGAATCAGATAGCTTCCCAGTCACGTCATGTGCCTTGCTGGGGAGGCTGCACAAGCGGCTCTTCTGATGGCACCAGAGTTGCCTCTGGATCTGTCACATGTTTGGGTTAGTGGTAAGCTTGGTCCTCCTAAATGCCATTTTCCTTTGATTGACCTTTCATTCTGAGGAATTGTTGGATCGCTCTCGGTCACAGGATCTATTAGCAGACCTTTATGACATTTAGAAAAGGGTGTGTTTCTTAGAGCCTTTCTGCTTGAAAAGAAAAAACACCAGTGCAGTCTTCTGCAGCCCTTCATTAACCCCTCCAGTGACTTTCTTGGGATGAGGAATAAAAATTTCCCCCCCCTCTTTTTCCTGCTCTGAATTTGGCGGGAAACAGCTGCATGCACTTCTTAGTGAGGTACAGCCTCAGGATGGAGATGTTAAAAACTTTCTTCTGTGCATTTGGTGCTGTAAATATTCCCATTTTATTATCTAACATTTTTGCAATAATCACTTTCTGCACAAGCAGGTCTCCCTCTCTCTGGAATCAGTGCCTTCACATATGCCAGAGGCTTTGGAGGCCCTGGCAAGCCATTGATAGCTGGACCTCCCGTGGATGGCTACAGCAAGAGTAAAATGTTGGTATCATCACTGATCTTTGTCGCTCTCTCTAACGTAAAGGCATCTACTGGGTCTCATTTCACTCTCTGTACAGCCCTGCCTTGGGACTGCAACAGTGATGGATGAATGGCTTCTCAAGCCAGGATATACTCTGTCACATCTAGCCACTTTGAGCTGTCAGTATTTGAAGGGGAGGTGGCAGAAAGAGGGAAGTGTGTTTTGCAAAAGGTCTCTTCTGCAGCATCCCCTGGGCAGTGGGTGCTGCAGACAAGGAGCTGCCTCACATGACGTACCACAGAAATCCCACACTATCCAGACAAAAAAAGTATTGCCCTCTGAATCCATAAATTAAGCTGTCCAGAAGCACTCAAGTTCCCCTGGAGTTTAATTTCTAGGGCTTCTCTATAGCAGATCCATGTTCTGCACAGAGCAAAAAAGTTGTAGAAAAAGATGCTGAGCACTCCAATTTCTCATCTGCACCACCAGTACTGAAGGGGAGCTCCCCACCTTGCAGAACTGGCCCATAATATGCCAGTGGGGTAGCCAGGAGAGCACAGTGCCCAATATCTGCCAGGTCTCCCAAGGCAGTGATTTAGGGGTGGTCCCTTTATTGGATGCCCCCTGCAGGGCTGGGGAACGTGTGCCCTCACAGCTGATTGCGGCGATGCAGGAGCAGAGCCCAGGGCACAGCGCCCGGCCCAGAAACCTGGAGACATTGCTACAGCTCCTCAGAGAGGCAAAATCCCAGGAAAGCACCTGCTGCTTCATCTACAGCTGCCAACAAGGTAAAAACAGGCCGAACCCTGGCTGCTGCCAACTTCCCACCCATTGCTGCTGCTGCTGCCTGTCCTGTCCTCCAAAGCAGCATTAAAAAGCAGATGCAAGTACTCCCCAGGCAGCCAGTGTCAGCCATCCTAGGCTCCAGCTTTGTGTTGCATGTGAGCAGAAATGATCTAATGTATTTTGAGAGCAACAGCCTGTAGCTGCTTGCTGCAGTGCTCTTTGCCTCACTTGTGGGTTGTGCCTTAGGGTAACACCACAAGGGCTGGATATAGCAACACTGTAAGGGGTTGTTTTGAAACCTGAAATCATTTTGTTAAACCAGCTTGTTAAAATTGTGAATTCATATAACTACCAACACTTTTCTTTTTGTAATGTCCTTCTAATATATACAATCTTTCTGGTTATGGGGGGATCCCATGAAATGCCACGTGCCTGCACTCATGTGCCAGTGCTCCAGACTGGATCCTTTCAAGACTGGGGAGGAGAAAGCAGAGCTCTCTGGACCTGGGTGTAAACCTGGGGCTACTCTCCTTGATTCTTAGCCATTAGGCTAAGCCATCTTGGAAAAAAATCAGCCATTGTAAGTGCTGAAAATCTGCAACCTCTGATGCTCCTAGAAGCAGAGATAACTTCCTGCAGCATTTTGCCTTGAGATATGGGAGAGGGACCAAATCCAAGGTCCGAGGTGGATACTCCAACAAAATGAGTGACATTTTAACACATTTTTATAGTCAGGAAGAGTGAATGGTGGGGAAAGAAAACAATCACCATTTCTTGCTTCCACTCTTGCAATCTTCCCTTACACAAAGGCAGCTCTATGGCCACAGGGCTCTGCGGAGAAACAGCCCTTTAAGCCACACCACGCTGGTCAGGACACAGCTGACTTCACAGCCTGTGTGAACAGGAGGAGCTACTACAATAAATAAAGCCCTACCTTGGCACAAACCAAGTGGGGGCAGGTTTTCTTCAGCTCCACTTGTCCTCAACCCAAGAGTCTGAGAGAATAATTTCTTAATATTTCAGCTGAAGGGGGAGGGTGGAGTTTGACATCCAGGGATGTGACTTGGGAAGAAGTGACGAGAATGCAGCTGCCTCCCCCGTGCCTGGTTGTTATTCTTTCTCCCAATACAAACTAAATATAACTTTGCCCCATAACATTCAAATCATTTTAGTTACTAGAAGGGATCATGCCTGGAGTTCCAAGGGCCAGAGTGCAATCAGGCTCAAAATATAATCTAAACAAACCAGACCCTACATTTTCCACCAAGTTATTTTCTTACTTATAGTTTCCCCATCAGCAAATACATATAAGTGCACCCAGAAAGAAACTAACAATTCCAGCCAGATGCCAAGTTTTCTGTTCAAGATCATAGGAGCCCAGTCAAACATAAACAAGGAAATGCCATGATCACCTCATTTGTTTTAAATATTTCTGCTCATATACATGCAGACAAGTGTGCAGATTTATTTGCCTCATTTACGAATACAAGCAACTGGAATCTCCATTCTGTTCCGTTTTATAAAAGACAGATCCCACACCTGTCTAACTGAACAGCTGGGCAATTTTCAATTTATATCCTTCAATACTGCTCTCCACTATCCTATACCACAGAAAAGCCCCACTTGCTGTGCTGCTGCTGACACTGCTTTACAAGCATTCCTGTTCTCCCCCCCAGTGCCTTGGACAGGATGGTGGTTGCCACTTCTTGGCAAAGGGGGGTTATGTAAAACCCAAGAAGGACTCTTTGCTTTACAAAACAGCTATTTCCGGGAAGCAGTAAAAAACAATTTCTATAAGTGTATTTAAGACACAACAGTGGAATAGCCTAGAGCTTCCTGTCCATATTTCTCACAGTCAAATACACACACACATGTAATTATATTTTCCTGAGCTGCTTTGGAAAGTTCATGCACTCGTTCAACTCATACATGCAGTAAACATGATTTATAGCTCTGTGTGAAAACTCTCCAGATATATGGTGTTTTGCTAGTGACTCGAACCTAGCGCTATAATTTAGTAACACCTAGCAGTGAAAGCTAAATGATTTCCCACTCCACATTCCTAACTTTCCATGAACCCCTTTTACTGCTAACCTGGGGAGGAGATACTACTTCTACAATTGTTTGGACTTAGCTTTGTTATACCTTCAACTAAGCTGCACACTAATGTCAAGCTTCACATATGGTGAACACACCAGCACTGACCCATGTCCTATGAGACCACTTGCCATGATACAGTTCAAAGTGAACTTTATTAACACATTAAACATAATTACAAAGAGGAAATTCCAAGGAAGGTCAACCAGCCTGGACAGTTTCTTGGAATGGAAAGTAATTTATTATATCCACATACTGTATTGTAAAGTTTATAAAGAAGTTAAATAAGTTTTAAGAGCCCCATGGGTTAGGTATATTTTAGTATTTAATACCAAACACATTCACTTTCCATGAAGATAAGATTTCTTTTTACTTGCTGTGTTAGCAAATTAACAAAGTCATTTACCATGAAGCACCCAAACAACCCATCAACACATGCAAAGAATGAACATCAGCGACTATGGCACCATAGACAAGGTGCATCCTACAAGGACAATACAGCCAAGCACTGAAATTTTTCATTCTGACAGACAGATGAAGCAGTTGGACAATGGCTGCTAACCAAATCACTCATTCCATGTGAACACAAACTCTTACACCAACACTTGAGGCAACATTTGTCTTCACCATGCTCATCACTGTAAAACCTGATACTTCAAACTCCTTAGTACAAGGATGGTTCACACCAAAGTTGATTCCTTTCACGTCTCCCATGCTTCAGAATGAACATGGATGGCTGGAAAGGACCATCTAAAAGCCGTGTTTAAAACTTGCTTCTAGACCTGGTTAACTTGGGATATCCTTTGCCAGAAAGCTGGGATGGACAACTCCTGCCTACAGTAGGAGTTTAACCCCTACTATAATAGCTTAACCTTCTCTGCAAGACTAACACAAGGATTACAGGCTTACACTCTCTGCACATCATTATCACCACTATTTGTGTTGGCAGTGAAGCTGTAATGATGGATCAATGGATAGAGACCTTGCTACAGTGGGGGCTGGACAAACACCTACCAAAGAACAATTCCCACAGGGAAGGGTGTACAAAGCAATGATGGCAAGAGTTTCAATTAATGTGAGTAGGTGTTCCTCAAAGAGATGAACTCTTGGCTCTTTGCACAGTGGGAAGCCATTATGTGGAGAGCAGAACTGATAAAAATGCTTTCTGAGAGAGATAAAAGGATGAATGTATACAATGTATACCATTAGCTATTGGAATAAGCAGTTCAAAGGACTGGTGAATCCAACATCTTTTCATATTTTCTAACAAAACAGTTTGCATTTCCAAAAGGTATGCATTAGCCAAGTAAAGGAGGGGTCAGCAGAGGGGTAACTGGGCCAAATGCTTTGGTATGTGACATGAGGAGATCAGATTAGATGAGCTAATGGGTCCTTCTCGGCTTCAAAACATGGACGCCCACAGACAAAAACAATGCTTATCAAAAACAATCAAAAGATTAAAGAAAAAAACAACAGCATCTCTGTAGAACAAAGATTATGAGAGAGGGACACAAAAACACCACAAATATTTGCAGACCAGCCCCCATGAGTGGACAGGCTTAACTTTGGGAATAGTGGACTCTTTGCAGGATCAGGCTCTAGGCCTGGGCTGCACAGCTGAGTCCAAAAATATGATGGAGAAAACTGCTTTGGGGATTCATTGTACAGCAGCACAGTGACATATTTTCTCTTTCTTCTCTACCTCTGTGGTAGGAGCTGCTTTCCTGATGAAATGGTTATTCATTGATAGCACAAGAAGTGCTTGCCATATTTTTACCTAAGTAATAACTAGCCCCTTGGGCAAAGGCTGCCAGTAAATTTTCTAGTCTAAAAGTTCCAAAAATAAGAAAAATAGAATATTTGGGAACATGTTCCATTTAATCAAGTGTCCTACATACACATTTCACCGAGATTTAATAAAATATTTATTGTATGTTAAACAATTGGCACTTGATTATTGCACGGATTTATTGCAGTTCAACAACAGTAGATGAGATACGTATCTCTTACATGGTTTTTAAATCCTTTGAGCATGTGTTTTCAATAATCAGATGGTATTTATTTAACATGAAATTACCATCTTATTAAATTAAATGTGCATGGGTGACATGTAATTTCAAGTGTTGCTGAATATTTTTTCAGCAGCAAAAAATAGTAACTTTATCCCTTAGGTTTGAAGTAGCAAATGCAGAGGAGAGTTAGGATTACTTCAAATGACTTTTGAAGAAACAGACTTCGCATGCTAGAAGGTTTCTCTTCTAGTGTGGAAGAAAATATATTATTTATTGTTTCTTAAGTGCTGCCAGGGGGCTTAGCATGGGCCAAAAGAGAGGACTAATATTTCTACTGAAAGGCTAAAATTATACTGACGGTGCAGCTCAGGTATGCAGTTCAGTGGATAACCAGAAAACATTTTTTAGAGAAGAGATATATAAAACAAAGGTGTGTTGGCACACAAACCCACACAATCTACTTTTTTCATTCCCACTCAAGAAGGCAAGTCCATCTGAATACCGAAAATCCTAATTTGCTTTTTCAAAAGAAATGGCATTAAAATATAAAACATATTTGCAAGGCTCTGAAATTAAAAGGTTTCTTTAGTCTTCTGGTTCCATGAAGGACAAACTGCCCAATTCTGGAAGAAAGCTAGAAATCCTCTGGCTTGAGGGAGCCAAGAGGATCCAGAACCCAGCTGAAAAATCCAGCCCCGGCCTGTTCTCCCCAAACCTAACCCAAACCCCCAGGATGGCCACAAGTCACACAGGGACCATTCCTGCCAAGACAAGGCATCTGCTTGCTTCCCATAATCTCTGGGAAACAATCCAGTCAGGCAGCCCTGAATTAGATTCTGGGGTTAATCTACTCCAATTTTAACATAAATGCTACAGTACTTTGCCCTTCCAACTGCTTTCCATCCATGCAAATCCTGCCTCACGAGTCCAGTGGATTTCCCAGCCAAATCGCCCACCACCTCCAAGACTTTCAAGCAAAACAAACCAGACACTCTGCAAATCTCAGCTTAATTCACTTATTTTGTAACAAAATTCCCTTCCGAGCCACCAGTTGCAATCAAGTTCCAAAACACAAGGCTTCAAAGTCAGGCATTTTCTTCTGAGCCTTTATAAGAAAATCTATTCCACTTTTTGTCCCCTTTTTAGTCCCCCCAGGTACGTGCAGCATCCTACCACCTAATCATTTTATTTGAACAGCTCCTAGGAAATGGGATGCCCAAGTTCACATTTGGTGCCATGGATTCCCCTTGAACTGTGGTAGTCAATATTTAAACCAGTTGAAGCACAGAACAAGGTTTAATAAGTAATTAGCTGTTTCCTTATAGACAGACATTTGTGTGAGAGCTGCACAAGCAGGAAATTGTAAGTGTCATTGTTTAGGTCTGCAGGGAAACAGAAACCTCAATGGTTGACTTCATACCACACTCTGGAACAATGTCAGTGAAGATATTTAAATATTTGGCTTGCTCTCCTGCTAGTCCACAGTGGCAAGTCTTTGCCCATACACCAATATAGGGGCCTTTTTCATCTGTATCTAAGCATTTGGTTTCTTAAAAATATTATTATTATTTAAATTATTATTTTTTTAAATATTATTATTATCCCTAAGAGATGAAACTGCAGAAGATTTTACATTCTTCCACCCAATGCTGGTTTCTATTGGTTTTTCCAAATACCCAGATGGAAAAGGTGTGATTGTAGCACTAAGGGCTCAGAAGAAAAACAACACATCTTGAACACTCACTCTCCAACAGGAGACACAGCCAAAATATCCAAAAGCCCTTTTGCTGTTGGGAAATCAGTGGCAGTGCCCTACATGGCAAGGCTGCTCTCAGCCTGCTTTGCTCTGCCCTTGTCACTGGGGGCTTCTAAGTTTGGCCACCACAAAAACGTGGTAACAACTGTTTGTTGGTGACCACAAAGAGATAAACACTGTGGTATTTAAGAACTGTAGATATTTTCAGAGGCTTCTCTGAAGCAGAAATCACTTCTAGCTGAATGGCTGCAGAGAAGTCTTGGTATGGAGTGATTTTCAGAAATGTTCTTCTATCAGAAAATGATATTTGTGTCAAGAAGCAAGCCTTTGCCAGGTTTTCCCTTTCAATATTCTCTTTTTCAGTTCAAGAAATCTTTTGTGGCATAATTTTGGCAAATTAAAATGAAACACATACAAGCAAAAAGTTCAACTACAACTGCTCTCTACAACTACTCAAAAGGAGGTTGTAGTGAGGTGGGGGCCAGACTCTTCTCCCACGTAACAGGCGATAAGACAAGAGGAAATGGCTTCAAGTTGCACCTGGGGACGTTTAGACTGGATATTAGGAAAAAAATTATTCACCAAAAGGGTTACAAAGCATTGGAACAGGCTACCCATAGAAGTGGCAGAGGCACAATCCCTGAAGGTATTTAACAGACATGTAGATGCGGTGCTGAGGAACAGGGTTTACTGGTGGACTTGGCAGTGCTGGGTTAAGTGTCATTGTTTAGGTCTGCAGGGAAACAGAAACCTCAATGGTTGACTTCATACCACACTCTGGAACAATGTCAGTGAAGATATTTAAATATTTGGCTTGCTCTCCTGCTAGTCCACAGTGGCAAGTCTTTGCCCATACACCAATATAGGGGCCTTTTTCATCTGTATCTAAGCATTTGGTTTCTTAAAAATATTATTATTATTTAAATTATTATTTTTTTAAATATTATTATTATCCCTAAGAGATGAAACTGCAGAAGATTTTACATTCTTCCACCCAATGCTGGTTTCTATTGGTTTTTCCAAATACCCAGATGGAAAAGGTGTGATTGTAGCACTAAGGGCTCAGAAGAAAAACAACACATCTTGAACACTCACTCTCCAACAGGAGACACAGCCAAAATATCCAAAAGCCCTTTTGCTGTTGGGAAATCAGTGGCAGTGCCCTACATGGCAAGGCTGCTCTCAGCCTGCTTTGCTCTGCCCTTGTCACTGGGGGCTTCTAAGTTTGGCCACCACAAAAACGTGGTAACAACTGTTTGTTGGTGACCACAAAGAGATAAACACTGTGGTATTTAAGAACTGTAGATATTTTCAGAGGCTTCTCTGAAGCAGAAATCACTTCTAGCTGAATGGCTGCAGAGAAGTCTTGGTATGGAGTGATTTTCAGAAATGTTCTTCTATCAGAAAATGATATTTGTGTCAAGAAGCAAGCCTTTGCCAGGTTTTCCCTTTCAATATTCTCTTTTTCAGTTCAAGAAATCTTTTGTGGCATAATTTTGGCAAATTAAAATGAAACACATACAAGCAAAAAGTTCAACTACAACTGCTCTCTACAACTACTCAAAAGGAGGTTGTAGTGAGGTGGGGGCCAGACTCTTCTCCCACGTAACAGGCGATAAGACAAGAGGAAATGGCTTCAAGTTGCACCTGGGGACGTTTAGACTGGATATTAGGAAAAAAATTATTCACCAAAAGGGTTACAAAGCATTGGAACAGGCTACCCATAGAAGTGGCAGAGGCACAATCCCTGAAGGTATTTAACAGACATGTAGATGCGGTGCTGAGGAACAGGGTTTACTGGTGGACTTGGCAGTGCTGGGTTAGTGGTCAGACTTGATGATCTTAAAGGTCTCCTTTCCAATAAAAATGATTCTATTATTCTATTTTAAAAGTCAAAATTTTGAAAGTATATTGATTAAGCAATGGTAATCTTTGTTATATAGGTT